CCTTTCTTAGCTAGGTTGGTGTTTGCTATTGCTTTTCAAAACTAAATTGTATTGCTTAGGGGTATCGTAGGGAATAAAACTATAAAGAGAAGCACCAGAATGATTATAACAGAAATGAGCTAGATTACCTCCATGGGAGAAGGAAAGGGATTTACTGGGAAGCGGCACGTGGGCCCCTAAAGTACTTTCTCAACACCTTAGAAACACTCATATAGTTGCTTTCTTCCTTAACCTAGGAGGCAGATATCTGGGTATTAAATAGAACTATGCCTGCTATACACTCATATATGTCTAATACATTTTACAGTATTTCTGAATAGGCTTAAATACCCATGAAACTGATAAATGTGCAGTAGGGACTGAGATTTGGGAGGGCTAGAGTAGGACTTTTAGTATTTTTTGACATTTTAAACCATATGCATGTATTGCTTTGATAAAGTAGAACTTATGTGCTAGAAACTGGGCATACAAAGATGTTTAAATCAAGGCTCATGCCTTTGAATACAGTATTTCTAAATCTGGCAAGAAACCAGTACAAATGATTAACTACAGTACAACCTCATGAGAGCTGTAAAGTACACAGAGTGTTTTAGGACTACAGAACAGGGAGCAATGGATTTTTTTAGTCAAGCAGTGAGAAGAGAGGGTAGGCATAGGTGAAGTAGTCTATAAATCAGGCCTTGAAGGAGGAGTTTGAAAGTAAAACGAAGGAAAAGCAAAGCAATGCACAAGGACACGGAAGTGTGAAAGAAAGCACAGACAAGTGGTCCAGTGGCTCAGGGACTGCAGGCTGCACACTGAGCGACCTCTAGAAGGTGGTGTTCACAGTGATGCACAGTGCGTAACATGCACAAGATGCACAATCCACAGCAATCTGAAGGGAGTGGCCAGAGTCCAGGGGGATGGGAGAGGAAGCCAAGAGTACAAGGGTACTGGGTGAGATGGAATGTGAAATGAAAAAGACTAACGAAACACAGACATTATACAATAGGCTAGTGCTGGCATATTCATATTCAAATTTTTTGTCATTTCAATATAAAATTTAAAAATCACATCAACATTTGTACTCAATGAAGGATGATAGCATGTGCCTTTATTTATAATGGCAGATGACAGACATGAATAAAGCTTCAAATTGATGTATCTCACATTAATATCATTCCTTAAGGTCTTGAGAACATAGAAAAGAATTAGACAAAAATCACTGTGTCATCTATGAATACTTCTTTATTAGAAAAGAAATTAACCTTTCACATTCGAGACTGCAAAGGAAATTAATCTTGCAATTGTAGAACGAACTTCACAATGAGAGATTCTTAAGTATTCAGAGAGTGGGGGAAAAAAAGAGAAAATTATTTAGGACAGTGTTTCTCAAATGTGGCTACTTTCAGACACTCTTGGAGGAGGGTTTTCTCGTTTCCTATGGTAATGTTTTAAATTTTACAATTTACTTTTGTTCGTAATCTAAACATATTGATGCACGCTTGTTCAGGCATACTTGGATGATCACCTGACAACAGCGTGTTGCCACATGATCGCGGCATCTGCCCTTGTACCTCTGATCCTTGTAGCACCAAGAGAAGACCCACTGTGCTTAACTTTTCACGTGGCATTTCTCAAATTCGGTCCTTAGACCTTTCGCAGAATTGTTGAACATTTCCTGTTAGATCTGTGAGTTTTCAAGGTTAAGAACGCTGGTTCAGGGCAGTGATTCTCAAGATAGGAAGTGGGGTGGTGCCTGAGGAGACACATGTAGTTTGAAAAAGCACATTCAAAATACCTACTGATTTCATAATACAAATTCTTATAAGGTCAAACTGCACAAAATAATTTCAGGCAGTAGCAGAAAACCGACTATAGCTTCATCCTAGGATGAACTTGGTTGAGAAACACTGGCATAGAGGGAAAGGAGTCCTAGGAGATGAAGAACAGTTGGTAACCACATACCAAAGAGAAAGAACTTTTGGGGTCAGCAAGTGACCTTAAGCCATAATTTGTCATGGTCTTTTGGAACTCAGGGGCCAATCCAGAAGAAACCCAAGACGTTCATCAACCTCCTCAGACCTGTGGTTTGGGGAAAGTGGGTCCCTTTTAATACTGAGTCAAAGGAAGAAAAGCCTGCTTTTGCCAAAAATTCCCCTCCTGCCATTTTTTGGTTTACATATTTCAGAATTTCAGTTGCTGTAGCTGAGTAAAGGTGGCCCCAGATCCATCCACTAGGAAGTGCTGCCATCGTGTGCAATGCCATCCAACTCTCAAGGGAAATATCAGCCTGGGGTCAACTCTGCCAGGAAAAAATGCAAAGAATTGGATTTTCTTGGAAAGGTAAGTTCCCCTCGCTCTTCTTTCATCACTAGAACATTTACTCTTGCTATTTAAACACAATCTGCTACGCACTTACATGTGGGATATAAACCTAAAAGCGACAAACAAACAAGACAAACAAACAGGCTCATGGACATGGACAATAGACTAGTGGTTACCAGAGGGTAGGGGAAAAGGGAGGTGGTAGATGGGGTAAAAGGGGTAAAATATGTGGTGACAGAAAGAAATCTAACTATGGGCAGCGAACACACAATGCAATATATATATGCCTTACTGTTGAATTGTACACCTGAAACTTACTGGATTTTGTTAACCAATGTCACCATAATAAAAATAAATTAAAAAAATAAATAAGCACAATCTGTGACAGATGGCCTTGAGATGCAGTTGCAGTGAAACAGCATATAATGTTGAAGGACAATGCAAATAAAGAGGCGTTGTGAATATGGGGGACTCTAATGCCACCCCTACAAGTTAGTTGGGGAAGTGATATTTCCCATCTTCCCAGGAAAGTCATCAGTTTTCTTCCATTCTTAATCTAAGCCTAAACTGCTAAAAAGTGGTCCAGAATAGAAAATATTTGTCTCTCCAGTTAGAATGAAGCGCCATAAGGTGAGGGATTTTGTTTCTGTTCAGTTATATCCCCAGTGCCAACAAAAGACAATGCCTGACAGTTTATAAATTAAAAAAAAAGAAAAAACATTTGGAACCACAATTAATTGGGTTTTTATTGCTTTAGTGCATGGAGTGAGGCTAGAAAGCTAACATAGACATAGTAATCACCTTCTGTGATGATGACAGAGTTGTGATTAGAAGCATTATAATATCGACTTTTATTTCAAAGGATTCAGTTGTATTTTTTCAGAGCTTTTTTTTCTACTGTTGCTATTCTGAGTAACCACCACAAATTATATATACTCATTGTTCAAGAGTAAGTTATTCATTAGTGGGCAATAAATACCCCTCAAAGAACATTTTGGTTAAAGGATCATAAATGTCTCCTTTGACCAGAAACGATCACTGAGCCTCTCTCTGAGTGAGTTAGTAGAACAGGCCTAGTTAGAAGCCAGCTAGCACTCACAAGAGCGCAGGGGAGACAGGAACTCATCATAAGGCCAAAAGTATCCTGGTTCCTTTCTAAAAAGTTCATCACTCAGGTTTTCCATTCAGCCAAGGATCTCCTTTAGGTTACAATTGTAGAAAACTTTGTCTTGGCATTTCGGAAGCCCATTAGATTAAATTGATTTGCAGTGTGAACATAGGTGAAGCAAAAATTACCTTGATTTCATATTGCACTTATAATCAAATTGCTTACCATGGCCTGTGAGCCCTGGCCCCTGCCCATGTTGGCTACTGCTTTTCCTTCTTACTGTACTTCACTTAGTTTGCTCTTGCTTGCTTTCTGATCTTTGAATATTCTGTACTTGTTGTCACCTCAGAGCCTTTGCACTTATATTCCCTCTGCCCGAAATGCTCTTGTGCTTTATCTTTACTTGGCTGTCTTCAGATCTCAGCTAAGCCAGCCCCTCTGAGAAAGGCCTTCCTTCACCATATTAGTTAAATTTGCTCCCAACCCCTGCCATGTTCTATCACATTATTTTATTCATTTGTTTCAGGAATTATTTACTTTTTGCTCTACTTCTGTAGAATATAAATTCCATGTTATCTTTTTGTTCATCACAGTATTCCTAGTGCCTAGTACAGTGTCTGGCACATAGTAAATGTTCAATGAGTATTTGTTAAATGAAGTTTGAGTGAAAGGATTGACATAATTAATTGACATAATTAATCCGTTTGTAAAATGGGAAATTCATAAGTGACATTACAGTTCCTCAGATCACTCCAAATTGTGCTTTCCCTAGCCAGAGTGCCTTCATAGCTTACAAGAAAACATGGCAGTAGAATTCTACCATCTCCCAGTGTTCCTGGCCCAGTGTCCCACCTGTCACTCACCTGTAATTACTGTAGAGCTCCAATTTGCTTTAGCCGAATCAACAGTTCCCCACTCTGATGCATATTTATTAGATCAGTACATCCACCTATGCAATCTTTACCGATAAAGACCCGAGGTACCTAAAAAAGCAAACCAGCCAGGATGTTTAAGGAACTTAAATTATTAGGCTAGAGAGAATGACATTTTATCCTTCCTCTAAACATTTCTCATGATCTAAAGCTTTGCAAATCACTCTGCAGTCTCCTCATATATATTCTTTCAGGTCAGAACTTTATTCTAAGCATAAAATTATCTATTAAAGAATGTTTTTAAGCCGAGATGTTTTTCGAATTGAGTATGCTGTGTATGAGATTGTCTAACGTCAAAGTGATTTAAAAATTTCGCTCTGATTTCCATTGGCTGCAGCTAGAACACTCTGAATTATCTGCAGCTGGGACCACACCTGAGACTTTAAAGTGAGCCATGGTGACCAGGAAGGAGTTTGTTTCTAAATGCAGCTGGAAAAATTTTACATTAAGTCTCTGTCCCCGAGTTTTACATTCAGTCATCTCTCTCTCCCGTAGGCTCTGTCCTCAGCTGGGAAAAGGGTGGTGGTATCTGAGTCTCCTTCTTTCATTCCTGGCCTGTCATCATAAGCTGTTTAAGTGCTGCAGCTCTGGGAGAAAGACCATTCCTCTTTAGTTTCACACCTGCATGTGTGGGACACCCAAGGCAAGCCACGCGGACACAGTCATTACACCTGCTAAATGCATTCCGTTCCAGTCATACTCAGGTTCCCTCCCTGCTGCTTGGTACAGGCACATTCCAGAAGTCCAAAGGGCTTTTGGAATTCTGAAGGAGTAAGCAATTCTCTCACTGTGACCCAGACAACTTCCAGGCCAAGGGTGTCACAGAAAAGTTGACTGGCAGTGAAGAAACAAGCACAATAGGTCACCTGAGTGGTCAGAAGCAAGCAAGCGGGTCCTCTTCCCGAGCACTAGAACATACCACAAGGGGTGGGAGAGGTGAAAGACAAGCAGCAGTAAGAATATTTTCAAAGCTTTTGGTTTTCCTCAGAAACCATGATAATTCAAGTGAAGTTTTTAAAAAGAGATGACACAAAGGGCTGAATTATTTTCGGTAAGTTTTTACATTATCTGTAATAAGGGGGTCTGGGTAGATGTGGGCTTTAAAAATCAAGGCCAGTTATTAAAAAAGAAGTCCATCACCACATTTCCACAGCTTTTTTTCTGTGCCCCTAAATGGGGAAAGGGTCCTCATAACTGCATTCTGGAGAGAAAGCCTGGTAATGCCTTAAGTCACAGAAGGTGCTGCCTGCTCCCCCAGCACCACGTGACTGTGTGGGGACTCTGCAAATGGAACGTGCCATCAAGGCAGCATTGCTTTTGTCAGGCTGAAAGAAGAATAGCTGTAGAAAGTCGAGATCAGAAACTTAAGCTTTCCCCTGGGTCCTAGCCATAATTTTAGAGAAAATAAAGCTTCCCCCACAAATCGTTGGGGCCTTTTGGCTTTTATCTCCCCAGGAACATTTGCCTGTGGTCAGTTGTAACAGTAAATAGAACAGAATCCTGATGTAGTTCTATTATAATGACACTGCAAAACTCCTGTTAAGGCAATGTCTGATGAAATAAAAATCACCTGATCTTTAAATAAGGATGAGATGTATTTATCCTTGAACTTTTATCTTTTCAAAAAGAATTGAGCAATTATCACCACTCCTACTTCTTGCCCAGTCTACACCTTTGACAAGGGTGTTGGCCAACAGGGCCTGAGTTAAGTTATTTGGAGACAATGCCTTGAGGGACAGGCGTCCTCATCTCAGACTGTGGAAAGTGCACCAGAACCGCCAAAAGGCTTGTCAAAACATAGATTTCTCCCCACCAACCTCAAATTTCTGATACAGGATATCTGGATTGGGGCCCAAGAATTTGCATTTTTGACAAGTTCCCAGCTGCTGTTGCTGCTCCAGGGATCTTGTTTGCAAAAGACAGGTAGACACTGAGCAGTTCATTCCTCCCATGGTAACTGAGGCTTTGAAAACCCATAGCCTTACAGCAGCCCCAGACACCCCAGGCAGGGCCTGACACATGACCAGGCTTTCTCAAGGGTAGACTTCTGTGAACACTCTCTAGCAGAGAAGCTGGTTTACCTGAAGACTGATAAGCCCCTTCACCCTTACACCCACTCGTTAGTCTCTGTAGCAGCAAAACCACATGAAAGCCAACAGTTACCGGCACCTGCAAAGGGAACTGAATTACAGCCTGCACAGGACAGTGTGGGGAGCTGTGGTGACAAAACAGGAAACTTGATTCAGTTGAGGAAAGAAGAGGAAATGCACCTTCAGTGCCTGCCCCTCCTGGCCCCATCCCACTTTTCCTGAGAACTTGAGTCTTTACTGTCGAGAAGCGAAAGAGAGCTGCCACCATAAACAGTCTTGGTAATATGGGGCCATTACGCTCCCGGAGTAGGTTTCTCCAGCCCTAGCCTCAGCAAGGTGGCATCATCTGTGCTGTAAGGTTCCTTAGATGCAGCTACTCAAAGCTAATTCACAACACTCCTCGCCACCTCCTTGGCTACATCCCTGGTACAAGCCGCCATCATTTCTCATCGGAATTAGAGCTGTAGATAGCCTCCAGATGTCTCTCAGCTTCAACCCTCACCCTGTCCTTCCTATGGTTTCTTTTCCCCACAGCCACGAGAGTGATCCTTTCAAAATGAAGGCAGGCCATATAATTTCTCTGCTCATCTCACATCACCAGCCCCAGTCGTTATGATAGCTTGAAAGGCCTTCCCAACCTACACCTTGTTATCTCCCAGACTTCATCTCCTACTGGCCCCCTGGCTTACAGTGCTCCGGGCACACAGGCCTCCTTGGCAGGCACACTTCTGTTATAGGACCTTTGCACTTGCTATTCCCACTGCAGGAAACACTCTTACCCCTAAATTTCTGAGTGTCTTGCTCCGTCACCTTCTTTAGAGATCTACTGAAATCGGTGAGGTCCCAATGGCTCCATTTAAAACTGTACCTGGCTGCCAACTGCCTACCTCCTGCTCCTTAGTTTGTCTCCTTAGCACATACCCCTTACCACCTTCCGACACTATTTTATTTAGGGTATTTACTAGAATGTAAGTTCCACAAAGGCAGGAGTTTTTGTTTTGTTCGTGCAGGTGTTTCCAATGTCTAGAAAACTGCCTAGTATTTAGTAGGTGCTTTACAATGTTTGTTGTATCCAGCAAAACTATCCTCCAGAAGTGAAGAAGTAAAGATGTCCTCACACAAAAATTGAGGGAATTTCTTTCCAATAGATCTGCCTTGCAAGAAATGTTCAAAGAAGTTCTTCAGAGAGAAGGAAAATAATAGAGGTCAGAAACTCAAATCTACATGAAGGAAAGAAGATTTTTAGAGAAGGAATAAAGGCACTGATTTGGGAGTTGTGGCTATAGCAAAACCAAGACAGGTTTCTCCAGGCACGCGGCCTGATTGAAGGCATAAGTTTCTGCGATCGGTCAAATCCTGCTGGGCCCTTACTATATGCAGAGCACCATAGGTCATTACAAGATAGGTACAAGATAGCGACTGCTTTCAAGTTGTCAATTTCTTCAAATATAACCCCATCACTCCTGGGGATCATGAAGCATACAACTTTAATGAGTTTGTTCTTTCCCTTGGAGAAATGCATTTAGGACTTAAGAACCCATGGAAAATATTTTTAAAAATTCAAAAATAAACAAAAGACCACTAGAAGAAAAATTGTCGCTTTACAAAGAAATGAAAAAACACTTGTTGAATGAATGCATAAAGAGGTTTATCGTTCCTGCTAGGGAATAGATGCTGCCCAGGTGAGAGCCACAGCTCCCAAAACTTACTGCATGTTGGAATTAGTTGGAGATAATAAATATAGGAAATAAACTCTTTAATTTTTTTCAGCTTCACTGAGGAATAATTGACAAATAAATTTGTATATATTAAGGTGGAAAATATCATGGTTTGATTTATGTAAACATTATAAAATAACTACCACAATTAATACATCTATCACCTCACATGGTTATAATTTTTATGTGTGCAGTGAGAACACTTAAGATCTACTCTCTTCTGAAATTTCAAGTATACAATGCAGTATTATTAACTATAATCACCATGCCGTACATTAGATCCCCAGAGCTTACTCATCTTATAACTGAAAGTTTGTACCCTTTGACCTACTACTGAGGCCTGGTTCCCACCTCCAACATGGTGATTAAATTGATATGGAGTATGACTTGGGCATTGGGATTGTTTAAAAAGGCTCTCAGGTAACTCTAACGTGCAGCCACATTTGGGAGCCACTGGTGGAGAGGGACCCATCACAGTGGGGGCAGTGGCAGTACTGATACGGCCCTTTCCCTCTCAGAGCCCAGGCAGCCTGGACAGCTGGTGGTCCAGATAAGTAGCCAAAGTCCCTCTCCCATTTGTGTCCCCTGCCCCCGGTCCTCCCAGAGACTAGAGTCCTCAGCTCACAGCTGTGGCCCTGTAGGCAACAGGGTAACATGCTTAGACTCCCTTTGCACCAGAATGCTGATTTGTCACTGGAGAGGCAGGGAGAAATAGCCTGCTGTACTTTACACTGAGAAACCACAGAAAACCCTGTAAGCCAAACTAAAACTGAACTAGGATGTGTGCTCTGCAGACCCTGTGTCCTAGACATCCTGAAAGAGTACTGGGTGAGCCGGCGGAGCACCATTCACCCCAGCCAGCCCCGAAACGGACACAGGCAGTCTGTGTGGCCTCACATTCCACAAGAAGCCGTGGGTCCTGAGGATGTTTCAGAGAGAAGACAGCAGTTCTTAGAGGGTCTTTTGGTCTATTTATAGCAAAGGGGACTTAGAGCTTGCCTACTCTGGTCTGGTCTTGCAGCCGAGGGGGTCTTGAGGAATACAGAGAGACGACTTGCCCAGGCTCACACGACAAGCCACTGCAAGAGCCAGGCTGGAACTCTGGCCTCTCTCTGTACGTCCTGCGGTGACAGGCCTGGAAATACTCCACAACAAGGGGCAAATAATGAGCCATTAAATTTTTCCAGTGGGAGGAGTTAGATAAGAATGAGCGAAACTGGTGAGGGTTAAAGAGAGCCTCAAGAAAAGACTGAAGGACAGCGAATCCTACTCGGCCATGTGAAACGTAAGAAAGAATGCACACGATTCGCATGTCGACAACAGAAACCTACAGATCACATTTGGCCCCTCCACCTCCAGTCCTGTAAGCTGAAAACTGTCACTTTGCAGCGGTGCTTAAAACAAAGACTCCAGATAACTCCTTAATGACTCCAGGCAGCTGCTGGGCCCATGGACCCCGATGTCCAGCTCAATCAGCTGTGTCCCCTCCTAGGCTCTAAGAGGACCATTGGCTGCAGTTCGGTTGCCCCTTCAAGGGAGCAGTGTCTTCTCTCAGGCGCCCTCCCCCACCCTGCTCAGCCCTCCCTGCGCCTTGAGCGATGGAGCCCTAGCGGTGTCGTAGAGAAAGGCACAGGCAGACGTCCACAGCCCTGACAAGAAAAAGGAACGGGAGAGCCTTTCCTCTCGACCTTTTAGGGCAAAACCCTAAACTCACCGTTCTGGCTCCTGTGAGCTGTTTCAAATAATCTTGAATCTTTTCAGTGTCACCGGTGGCTGTGATATCGACAAATTCCAACATCCCTTGTTTGAAGGAAAATTGACTGAGGATTTCTTGGGTCTGTCTGCAGTAGGGGCAGGTGGGCTTGATGAACACCACCACTTTCCCAGGCTGGATTTTGCTGTTCACAAACTCCTGAGCCATGCTGACAAGCTGCTGCCTCCTGGGGAGGAATCCTCAATTACAGGTATTGCTCAGGAGTAAAACGGAGGCCCAGCCAGCTGGCTCTCATTTAAAGGAACCTCCCTGGAGGAGGAGTTTGTCTGGTAACGTGCTCAGTATTTAAAGGGACAGCCCCAAAGTCATTCCTCTGTGGTGTAATTCACCAGCTAGTGATGCCAAGGAAGGCATATTTGCATTTAGTCATTAATACCTGTGCCTAGCTTGTCATTGTTGTCCTTAGATCTTTCAGGAGCGCCTGAAAGCAGAGTCAGATCACCCTTTGGAGAAGCGCAAAGCACACAGACCAGCCCCAGGGAGAGTTCTGAGTGAGCAGTGACTTTCTAGGGTAAAACCTTTGCCCTGTCAGAGACACGTGTTTTAAAATGTGCTGGCCAAAAAGAATAATTCAAGAAACAAATCTCTTTAGAAGAAGTGAAACTGCAATTGTGACTTGGTGTCTGTTTTGAAGTTGCTCCCAGGGCCTTTTGCTTAGCCTGCACAAGGGTTCTGTCGTTGCGATTGTTTTTAATGGATGTAGTTCCCAACATTTAAAAATCTGGAGATTTCACAAAAGAATCTGAACTTGCGCTTCCCTGAATAGTCAGGCCTGACAAGACAGCTTGCATTCCTTGTGGCAGCAGCTGGTGCTGAAAGGCTGTTGTCCCCTGTGGGCAGGACAGAAGATGGCTGCGGTGCGCCAGAAAATCTTGACTGTCTTCTCTGGGGTCCCCACGTTCCCTAGTAGGTGGAGTAAAGCTTCTGTTCTAGGACAGTTCAGACCCCCTCTGTGTGCGGTAAGTTAAATAAACGAGTCAAGGAAAAGCCATTAAAAGCGAATCATCCGTTTGCCCAGGAATTTTTACACTGAAACTAGAGTACCTTCAGAGAGATGGGAACTGGACATCTCCCTTGACTGTCATGTTGGTGAAATCTCAAGCATAGTGTGATTTCTCAAGAAAAGAAAGTGACTCTCAGAAGCTGCTCTAATTATTACTAAAATTAAATGGCAAAATGAGAAACACAGATTCTGAGTCTCGGAGAGGGAGCTAATAAATGAGATCTCTGTCAACAAAAAGATTGTGCTGGGGCCCAGAGGCCTGAGGCTCTTGTCCTGGTCAGGGCTTGGGATCTCTCTGTCCTCGGCTTCACTTCCCTCCTTAATAAGTTCATGGGGGGAGGCTGTGTTGCCTCTCTTCTCCTTACTTTAGCTCAGACCTCTGTGGCTAAAGGCTGCCTCCTTCCACTGAGCCAGCCCATGGGTCACCAGGCCGTTCCCTCAGAGCCCTTCTCCTTTCTCGGTATCTGGAATTCACCTCTCCTTCTCTGTTGGCTCTTTTCTCTCAGAATGTGATTCTGTTCACGTCTCTCCCTTGTTAAAAACCACCATCACCACCACCACCACCACCGTCTCCTATCTCCCTTGGCCCTGCTTTCCAGCCTCTGCCCTTTCCTTAACAGATAAGTGTTGTAGAACTGGCTGTTTATGATTGCTTTCTGTACTTTACTCACCTCAGTGCAGTCTGACTTCCTTCTCCACCCTTCTGCTAAAAGTCCTTTGGCCAACACCACTCGTGACCCCTGCATTGCTAAATCACTTTGTCGAGAGGTGTCCTGACTCAGACTGAGAAGTGTGGGTGTGGAGTTTTTGGTAAACTAGTGGATTGAAACTTTCAAAGGTCTGTTTGCACAGAGTCCTCTGGGGGTTTGGGTACCTGAGGTAGAGGCTGGGATGCAAGGGTACTCCATCACCTGCCCTACAGCTCAGCTCCAGGGAGTAGAGTCTGAAGCCTTAGGACAGATATCCACAGAACACAGCTGAACAAGGCATTTTCTTGAGGAACTGTGAGACATGGAACACAAACAGATGACAAAGAGGGGGTGCCTGTCTCATTTCTCAGAAAATGCTGTGGCTTCAGCTCAGTGAAGAATTCAGAGCATAGAATATTCTGCTGCATAGAATATTCTGCCATCTTGAACGTTTGTAGCTTTGGCACATCAGGAGATGGAAACCATGGTCCGAGGGGCATCTCGGGGTGTGTGGGGAGGGGCTGAAATGGAGGGTCCAAGGGGGCCCTGTCCTTAAGTACTATGAACAATCAAGAAGGGGTGTGTGTGGCGTGTGGAAGAGCCCATAAGACACCTCCAAGCAGTTCAGGCGTACTGAGAAATGAGGACCTTTTTTTAAGGGAATGGTGGTCCTGCTATGCACGTGGTTGACAACGAGTTCGTGTAGAACACAGGCTATTGCTGTTAATATGATCTCGTTTATACCCACAGGTTGATGAGGGCTGAGAAAATTTGGCCACGAATGAACGTTTTCAGGCTTTTTCTTTATTTGCACACTTTGCCAGACTTGACCTTGTAGCTCACGTTCCCCCCACCCCCCTTGAAGCTGTCTTCTTCCCAACATCATTTGCAGCGTAATCTTTTTTATTCTTCCTGTATCTCTGGATATTCTGTCTCAACCTCTTTCTCAGGAATTTTGCCTACCCATGGTATATCCTGGGGCTTGACCCTCTTCTCACTATGTACACACCCTCCTTGAAAGATTTTATCTGCACAGCTGATTTTGATTAGAGGAGTTTGTTTTTCTTGGCTGTCAAGAAGTGGGCGGTGGGAAGTCCAGCTGTCACCTATTTGTTGATAAGCATCACATTTATTTTTCTTGTCTAGACCTCTCTCCTAAGCCTCAGGAGTGAATAGTAGCTCATTGCCTACCGAGAAGACCCACCTGGGAGTTCCTTGAGCCTCTCAGCCTCAGTGTGGTCAGGACTGAAGCCACCCTTTTCTCTTTTCCATACCTGCTCATCCTCCTGTGAGTACTGTCCTCTATGCAGTCTAGTAGGGGGGTGGGGGAGGGTACAGACAAAAGCAGTGGGCACATGGCATGAAATGGTCTAGGTGGTATAATAGAAGTATGTATGGGCACAAGGATAACCAAAAGAGAGCAGTCATTCCTACCTGGAGGGCTAGGGAATGGTTGACAAAGGTGAACTAGGCTGAATCCTGAGAGAAGAGATGTTTGTGAGTCTACAAGGCAGGCAAGGGTACTGCAGGCAGAGGAGAAAGAAAAGCAAGAATGACATAAATGATGCTTGGTGTTGGGTGTAGTTGCATGTGGATGGAGTAGTAGGGGTTTGAGTAGGGAGAGCAGGCAGATGCTGGGTGTCCTTTGTCAAGCTACAGAGTGAAGACTTTACACATAGGCAGTGAGGAGCCATAATAGGTATGTTTTAAGCATTAGTAGATTGCAGTTAAATATTTGATGAATTAAGGACTTTGTCACATCTCCCAAGTAATTCAATGAGTGCTAAATGCAATCTGACTATAGAAGGGCTCTAAGGAGCAGTAGGGATGCTTTGGGACATGCAAAACTTTCAGGGTCCCTCAAAATTCACCCTGGGACCAGTACTGACTTCCACTAGTCTGGAAGTGGTGCAAAGGGGCAGCCGTGTAGGTGGTGGCCCACTATTGTTCTGTGCTGCCCTCAAAGTTCCCTAGACTGGATCATGGCTGCCTTGGCCCTTTTGATATGGCACTGTAGGTGTTCAGGTGAGTGAGTCACGTTGCCAGCAGCCCTTTCCAACTTCAGACACATGAAGATTCTAGTTTGTAGTTGTGACCATTTTCAGAGTCTGATCCTGTTTGATGCTCTCTCTCTCTGGACCTCTCTAGATTCGACCACAGAGGACCATAACTATAGATGCTACCTTCAGATTTGACCACGGAGGACTTCTGACTGTGACTAGCCGTAATCCTTTTGTTCAAACTGTTTCCTCATCTTTCATCTCTATGTGGAGCTGCTCGATGCTGAACTCAGTGATCATGACAGCTGCCATTTATGTGGTACCTACTGTGTGCCAGGCTCAGTAGATTGAAGTTAAATATAAATACCTCAAATCCTCACAGCAACTTTGAAAGGTAGATACTTTAGATTCCAAACTGACTAGAGGACTAAGGAGAGCATCTCTGACTTGGAGGACCTGGAGTTCAACCAAGGTTATGAGTCTAGGCTGCTTTCCAACAGGTTCCACCATATATTTGGAAGGTCTCTCTTGTTGCCATCTTTTGTAAGATATTTAGGAATGGCATATCACCTACTAATACTGGTGACCTGAAAGTCGCTGGATCTCAGTGAGGTTTCTTGCTATCATTTAAGTTCAAGACTCTATCATTGACCTTTCTAGGTGTTTCACGACACAAAGGTCTCTTACTCTTGCTGTTGGCTTCATAAGAGAGAACTAACCCCTATTCCTCTTCTCTCCTTAAGCTAATCATATCAGACAAACTAAACTAAGCCATTTATTTAGTTTAAGTTTATTAGGAACCTCTTTATTAGGAACCTCAAACAGCATTATGTATTTCTCTCTTCCCAGCCCCTGGTGCCAAAAGAGATCTCACAGGGCATCATACCTGCCTACTTTGGGATGGATATGGCTGGGGATAGATGGAAGGTTAAGGATTCCCCTGGGGCTGTGATTGGGTTCCCTCTAAGGGGTTCTAGGGGGCTCTGAGAGACAGCACATAGATTCACATTTCAGGGCATCATCTGAACAGCAGAATATAATACCCCCGTTTTTGTATCCCCAACCTTTAACCAAGTTTATCAATTCAAATATTTTAGGTGGAAAGTAACAGAATTTTCAATTAAAATTGGTTTTGATTAGAGGGTTTTGTTTTTCTTCGCTATCAGGAAGTCAGAGGTTGGGAGTTGGCTCAGAGGCTCAGTGACCCAGGGCCCTGGGTGAGCATCATTGAGATCCTCCTGGTCGTCCCCTCATGACTGCAGGTTGGCTGCAGCTGTTCTGAGCACCTGTCCTCACGCAACTATGGTCAAAGGTAGGAGGCAGAGACTGGCGCAGGTAGGGCATTCCTCCTTCCATGCTTTTTGACTGGCAGACTCCCCTTATACTTCCTGAGCTGGAACTGGTTCACATGCCCACTCCAAGGTCAGGGTCTCTCTTCCCTAAGCTCATTGATGTGTGCTTAATGCCTGAATTCTCTGGGCCAGTAAGAAGAGACGGCCCGCTTGGCTATAATTGGAGAGCTTACACATTATGACACATCATAATCCCCCAAAGTTCAGAGTTTACCT